CGCGAGTTTTATACACAGGCAAAGTCTACTTACCAACTAACCAAAACGCTGCCCATATTACGTTGCCCACTTTACTTACCAGGTCCGCTTTTAAAGTAATCTTAGGAATATAAAAAACCTTGGTGTAAGAAATTCTCAATAAACAGGAAACAAAAAACGTAATTTTTCTATTATTTCTTAACATTTGCTTACATATAAATAAGTCTAAATATTTGCCATTATCTTTTGGGTTGCCTCAATTTTTATGTAGAGAAGATAAAAAATAAAAAGCTATAGTATTTTAACCGTTACTCTCTCATCCCTCATTCGCCATTTCGTAAAAAATAGAAAATAAATGAAGAAATTGTTCTGACATTAGAGCGGACTTTTCGCGCTTTAAAGTTCTGGTAACGTTGCAACGTAGGCTCGCTTGAAAGAATGAAACTGGTACGGTAACTTACCGGATCTGCCTCATTTTGGCATGCATTCATCGCTGGATAGATTAGTAACGTGGAAGAGAGAACAAGTACGTCGAACAATGATAATCCGCACAATAATACCTAAGAAATTTTAATGCTGAGAGTTATTGATTTTAGAATCAGAAAAGTGAGAAAATGAAAACCTCTAATGAGGAATGCCTCATGCGAGCGAACACTACCGCTGAGAGCGCAGCTGCAGCTACTCCAGGAATGCATATCTGCAAACAATACATTATGAAAAGTGGAAAAACCCTAAATTATTTTACGAAATAAACAGTTTTTCCACCTAATTAAGAAAATTCTTGTTCTACTAGTAATTTTCCTATCCCTTGCCACTCTCGTTTACATATACCTCATTTCCTGAGCTCTATCAGGTTTCTACATCTTCTTTCCCCCACTCGTCTCATCTTTCCTGCTTATCCTCTCAAATTTTCCAAGGGATTATTTACATTGGCATTAGCTGAGCTAAGATTCCATTGAACTAGGATTAAGTAACGCACAAGATAACAACAAGACATAACATCCGATCGTAGAAAAACACTTAGAAGTTGTTTTGAATATCTTGAGAGTGCAGATTTCAGCGCTAGGCATATAACATAAAAGAAATTTTTTCAAAAGTAGACTGTAATTATTTGATAACCAAGAATGAATCTGAAAAAACCACAACGGTTTTTTTAATCAACCAGTCAATTAATCTCAGCCCCTTTAATTGCACTTGCGCTCAATAATTCACTCATCCATTCATTTATTTATTCATTCATTCATTCATTCATTCATTCACTATGTCATTCATTTATTTAATCACATTCATCCTCAACTATTCGTTCAGTAATTCGTCCCTCATTTTTCCGCTCACTCATTCTCAGTCACATTCTGTCCACACTCATTTCTTTCATATAACTTCCATA